TGGTCTGGGAGCAGGTGTCTAGGTAGAGATGGACCCTGGGAGCTGGGCAGTCTGTGGTCTGGGAGCAGGTGTCTATGAAAGATTCCTGCCTGGGTGTGGGCTGGACAGGGATCTCTGATGGCACCAAGTCCCGCACTGTGTCCCCAACTCTTTTCTTATGGTTGCTCTCTTTCTGGTGTGGGAGGTGCTTTGCCTCTGGTAAGGCAGGCACTGTCCTGTGTGCCACTCCCTCACGCCTGTGGCTCTTCTTACTATATCTCCCGGGTTCAACTTGAAGGAAGCCTATGGCAGAGCCAGTCTCTGGTCCGTGTTTTTTGGGAAGGGAAGACTTAGGCATTCAGTCATCAGGAGACCAAGGGTTGTCCACTGGTCATTGCTTATTCAGAGCTGATCAATGTAAAAGGGACAGAGTCCTAAATGTCAGAAAAATTAATCTTAAAGTTCATTCATTCAGTCAAARCTAATGCCAGGCAGCACCCGCACAGTCTGCACATGAGATGCTGACCAGGGATGCTGGCCATCACCTCCCCGGCAGGAGGCAGGGACCCAGAAGGACTCGCGGAGTTCCCACCTGGCTCACGCAGCTGGCCTGGCTCAGGGTGCTCACGGCCCGCATGTAGCTCTGGTTCCTTGAGCGGAATTTCGGGGAGTTGTAGTTGGCAGAGGGGTCCAGGCTGTGACCGACGGGCACCTCACTTGCAGCTTGCAGGTAGCTCTGGCTACAGGAAAAGAGAAAGGAGAGAAGGTGACCAATGAGATCCAGGGAGGGGGCGGGGCAGGGAGCTTGGGAGCTGTGTAGGTTTCCACCAGGATGTTGGTCTTTTGATGGATAACATTGCTGCATGTGAATATTCTGAGATTCACATCCACAAATGTGAATTTCATCAAAAGTAATAGGGGAGGCTATTTACAAAATTGCTTTGAAACCTGACTTTTTATGGCCAGGTGGTGAAATTAGGATCATTTTACATAAAAATAAAAAAAGTGATGAAGCACTTATTATTCATATAGCAAAACAGCAAACTCAGCTCCTGAATTTAAGCCAAGAGTGCTGAGAGCCTCATAAAAATCACGTTAGCTTTTTGGCAACTTTACATTACTTGAWAAAATAAAAAAATGATAACTTCGGTTATCACTTCAGTTTAAAGTTATGCAAAAGGTCAGCATATCATGCAATGTGTGCCAAAAGAGTAGACCGAAGAATCCATCCATTGTATTACCACCATGACCACTGCATTCCAAGTTCCCTTAAAAATAAATACATTCTGGTTGGGCACGGAGGCTCACTCCTCTAATCCCAGTGGCTCAGGAGGCTGAGGCAGGAGGATGGCAAGTTCAAAGCCAGCTTCAGCAACTTAGTGAGGTGCTAAGCAACTCTGTGAGCCCCTGTCTCTAAATAAAATACCCAAAAGGGCTGGGGATGGGACTCAGTGGTTAATGCCCTTGAGTTCAATCCCCCATACTATAAATAAATAAATAAATACCYTTTGGTCCTCCTTCTGGACATTTTGTAAAACRTTAAAAGTGTGGGAAGATCTTGAGGACCTTTGGCAGATAGAAAGCCAAACCTTGTTCAAATTTCTGTCCAATTTGATCTCTTTCCTTTCAGGTTTTACCTACAATTTTTCCATAGTGCATACACTTCATTTTATTTTGTAAAACAGTGGAGGACTGTGGACAGACATCTCTGATCATCCTCTTCCCTGTTCTGGATCATGATGGAATACCAAGTGTCACTCAGTGGCCTGTATGTAAAAATGCACATAAATGCTAGGTGAGCACCTCTGACTTCATCAATGGGTGCTAAAGTGTGTCCTTTTTTCCCCCCCAAATTAAGTCTTAGTGAAATTTGTGTTCTCTTTAGTTTTTGGTACTGAGGATTTTAACCCAGGTGCTTTATTGCTGAACCACATCCTTTTTATTTTTATTTTGAGTCAGGGCCTGGCTATGTTGCCGAGTTTGTTCTTGAACTTGCAACCCTCCTGTCTCAGCCTCCCAAGTCACTGGATTACAGGCCTGAGCCACTGTGCCCAGCTCTCTTATTTACTTTAAAAATAGAATATCAGAGAAAAAAAATAGAACTCTATAAATTCAAATTAAGTGAAGCCTATTAGTTATAGRTATAAATTCATTCTTCCTAACAAAAATAATTTTTTGCTTTAAAATAATGTACATAGCATGCTCCACCTTCTACCCCCTGCCCCCAAGAACAGAGTGGGGAGCGTGTGCGGGAGGGCTGTGCAGGGGAGAGCCGAGCTGTGAGCTGCCTGGCCCTGGGTGTGGGAGCAGGGTGCGGACTTCAGGGCGTCCGCTCACACAGGCCCAGCACTGTGGGGCCCGAAGCTCCCAGCAGGCCTGGGAGGCACCAGCAGGGCTGCCCCTGCCCTCCTCCTTGGATCCCCCAGGCCACCTGAGGACAGGTGAGCAGAGCTGCCTCAACATCCGGGTTCCCTGGCGCAGAGGAATGTTGGGGCTCTGACGTGGACAGGCAGACTCCCGTGGCCCTGCCCCGACCAGGCCTGCTTTCTTTGTCTGTGTGCTCCCTGAACACGTGTCGGCAGGCACCGCTTGAAGAGACTGCCTGGGCGGTGGGGCAGGGCTGCGTGGACGCAGGAGAGCCGCAGGGCAGGGTGGTGTGGCTCCGACCTGCTCTCTCTGTCTTGGCAGACGGGCAGCCCTGCCCCGCACTCCCTCGAGGTCTCTGGTCCCATGCTTTCCTCTGTACCGGTGGCACAGGCTCCTTGTCTTCTCCAGGTCGACCTCCCCTGCCCATTGGGCCACCATCTCACCAYTCCAGCGTTCTCAGTGCAGAGGACGTGTGTCACCTGCCACCGCCTCCAGCAGGCAGGGGGCAGAGAACCCTGGACTCACATCCTGCTGGTCCCCATGGGTACTATTTCCAACTGGTGTCTGGAATGGGTGGCCTCGCTCCGATGGCCACCCTGTTGGTGGCCAGTGGGTGGCATCACGGGGGATCCACATATCTTGTGATTCTGTGTTTCGAATGTTCAGTGATTCTGTTTCAAAGTTGGGTGTGCCCCTCAGAGGGTGCCATTGTAGGGACCTAATACCAGTTTCCTGTTAAACACGACTCACGTGGTCCACGTCTGCTGATACTGCAGTGAGCCATTTACCCCTGGACCAACCCACCAGAGTGGGTCTATGGCCCTCGCGGTGAGGAGGCAGAACCCGAGGGCCACGGATGCAGCGCCCCGTGCTCCCGCCCCACAGAGCAAAAGCAGAGCTGGGTCCTGAGCCCAGGCGGCCCCTGCTGCACAACTCCCGCCTTCCCTCCAAGTCCACAGTTGCCAAGACGTGACCAGAGAGCCCGGGCCTCTGGCCTCTGTTACCCAGCCCAGTCACCCCTGGTGCCGGACCCCAGGGGAAGCCAGGCACACCCTCCATGCTCTTTGTCACCTCTAGATCACTGACAGTCCCCAACATGATACTGCTGTCGTCGGAGGCGAAGCCGGCTCATGCTGCGGGAGTGGCAGAGGACATGTGTTACCTGCCACCGCATGTGCCTGGATCGAGCAGAGTGCTCAGTGTGTGGCCACTTCAAGGTTTGGTTTTTGAACTTTCTGGAATTTTCTTTTTGAATATTTTCTACCTGTGGTTTGTTGAATCTGTGGACATAGAACCCAGGTATATGGAGGGCTGGTGAATGTTTAAAATAGTTTTAAAACCTGCTTTAGTTTCATTAGGCTTAACAGGTTTTTATTAAATTTATCAGTGTTTTATGATGTGGTGTCGTAGAGGATCAGGTACCCTGTCCATCACAGAGCTGGTGATTGGCCATCAGGAGCCAAGGTTGGAAGCCAGCCAGGGTCACAGCGGCCAAGTCAGGTTCCCTCGCCCCCCATGCAGCCGTGAGCCCCACAGCCTCTAGTTGTGACCTGCCCCTGCTGCTCCAGAGACCCCTCCTCAGGAGTCCTGCACATCGGGAGGTTGCCTTCCAGCCACCGAGTGATTCCCTCAAGGTGGACCTCTTACTTTGCCGTAGCAGTCGTCGGAGAGTAAAATAGCCTCCCACATAGATTTGTTGGTAGCTCTAGAGACTTTACAAGGAGACCATAAAGCATTTCTAGAAAAACATGAAAACACTTTTTTTCTTCTGATTTTTGCCTTAGAAATGCTGCCTGTGTATTCGATGGTCGTCTGTGCGTGAGACTGGAAGCTCATTTTGGAGAGCTCTGAGTGAAAAGGCGACCGTAGGAGAGAGAGCAGCGGTCCCCCAGCGTCCTGCTGTCCTCCACTTGCAGACTGCCCAGAGCTGTTTGTTGAGTCCTGGGCTCACAGAGCTCACCTGTGACTTCAGAGCACCGTCAAGATGAACCTTCACCCAAGTGCATGCCCAAGCACGTCTCCTGGGCAGGGGTGTAAATGACTTGGAACACAGACAAAAAGCCCCCCTGTGGTTCTGTSCAGGTCACCCAAGGAGACAGTGACTGCAAGTTCTCCAAACCAGTGTGCTCTTCCCGAACACAGAGGGCATTTCATCTTATAACCTGCACCCACGTGGAAAGTCCAGCTTCCTCCTGGGCCTCAGGGGGAGAAGGGAACCCGTGAGGGCCCTCACATGTGTGCCGTGCCTGCTCCGCCACAGAGAGGTCCTGCGGGGGTCTTTCAATTCCCACTTTGGCAGGGTGTGGTTCTTCTACGTGGCTTCTGTGTCCAGTCTAGCTGCCCTTTGGCCTCTAGGAGCCAAGGGAAGATTGTCCCCTAGCAATCCTGACTGTTAGTGCCCTGCAGCCCCCTCCCCCCAGGCCTCCCCCCGACTCAGGAAACCCACACTGCACTGGCCCCTCTCCAGATGACCTGCCATGTCCCTGGGGCCTGCTTGGGCTTCTGAGCAGCAGCCTCCCTTCCTGAAAGGCCTTGCTCCCACAACGACTGCCTTCGTGGAGGTCATGGTATTTGGTTGCATCCTGGGGAGAGGGTCTCAGCATTCGAATCTGCAGGTTCCACCTACAAGCCTTGACACGTATGTGCACATTGCCCCCACGTCCTCTGCTGCGCCCCATGCAGCAGGTTCTGCACCTGGCTCCTGGGCCCGGGAGCTCAGGCCACCCACGTCTGAGAACACTGTCACAGGTCCCAAGCTTTCTCCGTGGTGAGGCCAGGTCCTGAAGGTCCCAGGAGGATGTGGCACAGCAGTGCTGAGGGATGACCCGCCGGCTGGGTGCTGGGTCTGCTCACCATCTCTGCAGACTTTGCAGGAGAAGCTGAGAACAGAGGTTTCACAGGGACCCCAGGAGAGATCTCGGAGAATCACCTCACTTCCTGCCTTTCAGATGAACCCCCAGGAGGAGCCAGGCACAGGAACTGCCTGGGGACTAGCACCTGGGTCTCTGGCTCAGCTGCCCGGCTCCTCCTGCTCCCTGTCTGCTCCTTGGCACCTCCTCTGCTTCTCCAGGACTTACTGGTTGGCTCTCGGGGACTCCTCCATGGGAAGGCAAGAGCCAGGAGGCACTTGGTGTGCAGAGAGGAAGGTGAAGCAGCTCACCAGGCCGACGTGGACTTCAGACCAGCCGGAACCGTTTCTAGTATCAGCAATTCCCTGAGGAGGGGGAGGGATGGCAAAGCCCCAGACCGTCTAAGACACTGTGCAGAACGAGGGGAGCCTCTGGGGTCATCAGGCGTTTCTGAGGGGACAGCAACAGTGGCACTGGGCAGGGCCAGGCAACAGTCAGCAAACGTGAACAGCAGAAGCACAGGA